AAAAAAAAAAAATCATTTTTCGATACCCATTTGACCTCCAGGATGAAAATAAAAATTCTGAAACCATATTGCACATCTACAGTACACCACCATTCATCTTCAAAAGGATAATTTGGTTATTGCATAAAGTGTAAGAAAAGTTCTGGGAACTAGGGTTTTTTCGTAGAAAAAAAGGTCAATTTTTAAAACCCATTTGATCCCTAGGGTGAAGATGAAAATTCCAAAACCGTTTTGCATTTCTACTGGACACCAACAATCACCTTCCAAAAGATGATTTGGCTACTGCATAAAATGTAAAAGGAGTTCCAGGAACTAGGGTTTTTTCTTTTGTAGAATAAAGGTAATTTTTCATTTGACCTCTAGGGTGAAAATGAAAATTCCCTTATTCCACTTCTAAAGCAAAACCAACAGTCATTGGTCAAAAATTAATTTGGCTACTGCATAAAATGTAAGAGGTTTGTATCATAAAGCGTCATTTTCGACCCCCATTTGACCCCCAAAGTGAAAATGAAAAATCAGAAACATATAGATATATGTAGACATTGCATACATACAGGACACCACCAATCATCTTTTAAAAGATACTAAGTAATTTGGCTACTGGGTTAAATGTAAGAGGAGTTCAGGGAACCAGATTTGTGTAGAAAGAACGTCATTCTCTCCTCATTTTGCCCCCTGAGTAAAATTGAAAATTCCAAAACCTTATTGCACTTCTACAGGACACCATCTATCATGTTCCATGAGATCAATTGGTTATTGGCTAAAATAAAAGAGGAGTTTGATGAAGAAGAAAAAGGACAGATCAAGGTAACATTATACCCGAACTTTCTTTAGACAGCGCTTCATAAATATAGAAAGTACCTTGATGTATATATGAATTTGGTTTTGAACAAATGATCACAATACTGACGCACATTTTTAAAAAGTGATCCAAATTAATATCAGTCTAATATCAGTCTAGGTAAAAGTCATCGTCGAACTTTTTTGTGTCCATTTTATTTCCAGAAATAGACAAAGAATGGACACCAAAACGACGATGAGTGAAAATTTTCGGAGGTTACTTCGACCCTTTAAAAGTGCATTGTCTTTTTTTCGGCCAACATTCAACCTAACGAAAGTTTGTATTTGCAAGCAAAGTTATAGTAACAACCATGGAATTTGCGAAATCTTGACATTAAATATCAAAGTATCATCAGCTTATTTGTCAGTAGTCTCTCTTGGTTTAAAAATTTATTGCAGAACTTATCTTGCTCTTAACGAATCAACTGAGAGATATAAACACAAAACAATCTGCAGTTAATTATGACATATTGCTACGTAAATAGAAAAAAATAGATATTCCATTTATCATGAAGTTTACTTGTTAACATAAAAAAATAGCGATAAAAATGGATCGTAACATGTATTATGTGGTTAAAATATAAATTTGTGACACAATTTTATCATAGATCGGACAAACGACATCATCCATCGGACAAACGGAGATTGAACTGGAAAAATGTCCAACCTTTTTCGTGGTGGCACTTAAAACGTCTAAAATGCTTTTAAATTATTGACATAAATATCATTTATGCTTTCTTTAAAAATTAACTCTTTCTTCTAATTCAATTGATTTTATCGATCCACAAATGTGAATATATTTTAATTGCATCACATTGCCTTAGGCCTTGCAATGCCTCGTAATATAGCAAATTCCGGAGTTCATCAACATCTAGTTTGAAGAGAAAAAGAGTCCACTCCTATTTGTCATATATCGATATATAGATTCCTAGACGGTTTACACTAATGACCTACCAATATCCAACGTGCATTTCGAATCAACTGAAAGATATATATCCCGATTTTTCAAACGACTTATTGTCAAGTGATTATTGTCACGTGACAGTTTCCATTGGACCCCCCCCCCTCCATTCTCTACTGGCATGCACATAAACATCAAATTGCATCCATTAAAAATACAAATTAAATTTGAAAAAAATCATATTTGGTAATTTGCTATAGTTTCATTAATTTCTTTTTCAATTTAAATAAATTTAAGATCAATTAAATCAATCCACGACTGTCAATAATTTTTTTTTTTATATTTTCAACGTAATTAATTCATATCGATACATTGTAAATAAAGACTGGCATTTTAATTTTTACAATTCCAACTTAATATATGTGAGAGGTGATCAAAAAATTCGCGAACTAATTGAATTGCTTCTTGAAAAGAAATAAAATGAGGTTTCAGTGTTCATTATTTTTTAAAGTAGTCCTCTCCAATTTTAATGCACATCTGCCATTGTTCTTCCCATGCGCAAATCACGTGATCCAGGCGGTCACGTAACATGCTTCGTAGCGGTCTGTTCACAGAAGCTAAGAGATTTTTCCAGTCTTATATTTCTTACCATGCTAGTAATTTTTTATAACAAGAACAGACCATCTGTCAGAAATGGCCAAATCTCGGCAATAGGATGGGTGGATAAGGATATCCCTTCCCAGAATTAGTATGGTGACCATCACAACCCGAGTCCTCTGTCTCGGGAGCGTCGTTTATCCAATGTGAAAAAAGTAAAGGCGCCTTCTTTTTTCCATATCTCATATGTTTAAAGTCTAAAGTAAACGATATTTTAGGGATTTAATAATTATATTATTGCTCAGATATTCAACTATTTTTCTTACTGTAATTTGGCGATCTTTTAAAACAAATTGCTCAGCTAAGGACACATCTTTTTACCGGCTTGCTTTCGCTGGGCAAACAGAACAAAAATCAATTTAAACCATCTCCCTGCCTTCACTAAAACATTCAATCCAATTAATGATTGAACTTCTGGTAAGTCTTTTGCAAACCTTGTACAAATTATCATATTCCACTGCAAAGGAATTTCCGAGATATACGATACACTTTACAGCCGTTCGTTGCTCGAGTACGAATGAGTCAACCATTTTTTGTCACAAGTGACCTACATACTGACGTCATTTTCACATTGTGACGTCACAAACACGGAGCAAAACATTATTTAACATCTGCTATTTATGGAACATGTGTATGACTATATGTGTGCCAAATTTCATTCTGATCTGAATTGGGGGTTTTTAAATATAGAGATGATTCGCGAACTTTTTGATCACCCCTCGTAATTACCCATCGTTAATTATTAGTTACATTTATCACAGGTGCTTGGGGACGACCCCCCCCCCCCCCCCCGTGTTGCGCACTCCAAGGGTTCTCTGACTTTCTAAATGATTAAATATGACACATTCACAAAATATTACAGTTAAAAAATCCAATATATAACTAAACCTTTTATAAAAATTCACACTCTCTGATACTAAAAAGAAAAGTCTTTTAGCATTTATTCTGCACGCCTTGTTCAACATCTCCTTGATGATTACATAATAAAACAATCATTGACTCATTTATGTTAACACAGGGTATTTGTTATGTAAAATAATAATTTTATGCATTATCCAACTGATATTGAACTCTTGATTTGATTGTTTGGTCTTCTCCCTGTTGAAATCAGCGGATTTTCAACAAGCAGATTTTGATTTTGCGCGTTCCAGATGTAAACTTTGAACCCTTCTGATGCACACTAAGAGTATTATGTATAAAACGCTCACAAATTTCTACATTGTACCCATTTTTATAATGGCACTGGGTCTTTCAAAAATTGAAACATTTATAAATTCAAGTTAATGTCCCGCCGAAATATGGCTGAAATAATGCCGACTCGGCGTAAAACAATAATAATCAATCAATCAAGTTAATGCAATGATTACGTAAGTTGACAGTGTTAAATTTTGCACTATGAATTATCTCTCTTGAATTTTGATTAATGCTTACAGGACACAGACACTTGTTTCGTATAAGGGATCACCCCCTTCTCCTTCTTTTCATAAGGTACCTTAACCTAACTCAATTTCAAGTACTCCTCTTCAAGCTTGTATTTTGTTAATACATCAATCAGTAACCTACTTTAAAATGACATCGTTCGCTTCTAGCGACTTTTTTCTTTTCAAATAAATCGTTTCAGACATCTCTGGTTGAACCTCTTTATTGTAAGCCACTCATTTGTTCCTCGAAAATTACTTAAATACATTTTAAGACTCTAGACTGGATACAAAAACTTCTGGTTGGGGTTATAAATGTCAGATAAAACCAGAGACTTTCAAGTTTTCCACTTTGAGGTCTCTGGTTTTGTCGTACACTAAAACCCTAACCGAAATTCTTGTATCTCTATAATATAGAGGCTCGACCAGAGACGTATTTGACAAAAAAGTCTCTCAAAGGGAATAGTGTCATTTTAAAGTAGGTTTATGATTTATATATTAACAAAATACGAGTTTGATGCGGGGGATCCTAAATTGTGTTAGGAACCTTGTAGAAAGAAAAAGAAGGGGTGACCCCATACACGAAACAAGTGCCTGTGTTACAGGACGAGCACCGTTGTCATCGGGAGATGAAATAATAGATACAAGTTGTATTAACAAATTTAAAAAAAATCCTTGACATTTGTAGAAAGAGAAATACATTAGTTTACCAAACCACGTATCAATCGGCCGATATGTATCTCAACTACTCAACTATGTATCAGTTTACCAAACCACGTAACAATCGGCCGATACGTATCTCAACTACTAGTAAGCTCTGCCTCCTAATAGTCAGGGGACCGTTCTACAAACGAACTTACGACTAAGACCATAAACTTCGGTTCATTGTAAAATTCTGCGAAATTGATTATTCTTTGTAAAACTGCAAGCATAAATACATCTTTCTAAATTCATTTTAAAAAGATGAAAACCATTTTAAAATTAAAATAAAATAGAAGGTAAGAAAAAGAATTAAATTTTGGTCTTAGTCGTAAGTTCTTTTGCAAAAGAGGCCCTGGATCTGGCATTAAGTTACAAGGCTAAATTGTTTTCTTCCTTTTTGGCAGAGGAAAAAATAAAGAAGAATGGACCTCTTATTTTTTTTTGTAATTCTATCGTAAATTAGACACAGAAGTGACAAAAAATGCAAGCTGAATATAATCTTTATTCTTTTACTTTGAGGGAAGATAATCAAAAGGTTGATTTAAGAATACAGAGATATTAATATATGTGTTAGAATTATTCAAAGTAAAAAAAGTTAAGTATAAAAAGGCTGGATATTCACTTAAGAACGCTCAGTTTCAAATATTGTTCCAAATGTCGTACAGGTTTTATTTTACTTCATACAGGACCTCATAATCTTTATAACTGAATTCTTTCCCTCCATACGAAATGTATGCACAGTGGTGATCAACATGGACTTTCCCTGGCACTAAGCTCCCTTCGTGGAACGCTCTACCAACATAGATTCCATCGTCCGTTTTGCAGGCATTGGGTGGAACGTAGCCGTTAGAAGCCTTCTGCCAATTTAAAAACCCAGATTTTCTAAAAGGAAAAACCAGTACCTCGTAATGATCAACGACTTGTTCTTTCGAGTCATATGGAATATGGGCTCCATCAAGATGAAATCCGCATTTCCCAGGTGTCATACTGGCCTCCATTATGGCCTTGGCAATAAAAAGTGGTTTTCCATCCGCCTCATACCCAGCTCTTAATGCCTCGTCTGGTATGTTTGACCCGTGCGTTGATACCCAAACTGCCATTCTGAATATAAGACAGACACATATTATTACGTGCATATTGTCTTTTCAAGAGCAAGAGGGTAGAAAGTCAGATTTTTATATAAACATCCATGCAATTATAGTGTAGTGGCTTGGGAAGGTTTGGATTATGGAAGAACAAGGCGATCTTTTAAAAAAATACGGTCAAAACATCAGTAGTATATATAGTCACTAAAGCATGCGAACATTCCCTTGCAGTATAGATTCATAAATCTCCCAATCTCTACCCCTTCTGGGGGACTATATTCTGGCCAAAATTAGAATTTATCAAAATTTACAAATTTCTGCTAAAACAGGAAGACCGCATTGTAAAATGCAACATTTCGATATGCAAGAGAATGGTCTACGTATGAACAATTTCTGAAACGAGGCAAGCTATTGACAACCGAGTTGATGAGACAAGAATATCAACAGTTTCGTTTAAAGTCATCATTTCGCAAATTCTATGGTGGGAACAATGACCTTGTCAGCAAATAAGTCTATCATCAAGTCGAATGCTGACTGATATTTTTCATACTAATTGTTAGGTCATTATCTACAAACTGAATTGTCTACGGATTTTTTTCCGTTTTCCCGATCATGACATGGATCACACAGCGAGTGTGACCAGTCGGCAGGGGATGCTCGATCCTCCATGGCACTTGAACCCACCTCTGACGTGTTTGTTCTGCTCCTGATTTGTATTTTATATGGACTTTGAGCTTGATTACTAGTCTCCATATGCGATGTAGCCTCTGAAGACCTTAGATTGAATTTTTGTAAACTAGTTGTCTGAATTATAAGTTTGACAGTAATCAACATTTGTAGGAAGACAATACGAAGGAAGAATTTGCGACCAATAAGGATTGCGCTTGTATGTGCATGCGTGCGTGCGTCTGTGTTTGTGTGTGTGAGAGAGAGGTTGTGTATGTGTAATTTGACGAAATGATTTTTACAACGATCGGTATTAGGTTAGTAATTTTTAAAAAGAAATATATAACAAAGAATTTAATTATGTTATACTTTCATGTAAATAACTTGACTTTGATTCGCCGAGAAACATTTGTTAAAAAACACTGTTACCCTCTGAATGATGAAACCACGCCTTTCAATAAATTTGCTATTTTTCTGTTTATCAGAGATCAATACTTGGCTAGAATATTATTATTGGTAGTTTTTAATAAATGATTGACTCTTTTCATTAATTGTTTTACTTATGCCATGCCAGTAACTAAGAAAAAATGGAAATTATGAATTAAGTAAATGGATTGTTTTGTTTCATATTTAACGGAGAAAGTTTATGGAAGGGTTTATATTCAAAAAACCTTATCTCTTAAAAATTATACCCCTCCAATAGAAAATACAAAAATCAAATTGATTCAATAGCAATGATGAATTTGAAGAATAATTTCCAAAAAAGAGATTCGAATAGTTTCTCTGGAAAACGGCCGAGACACCCATAACACGTCATCTATATAAATACATACATACATATAAATAGTCATGATACAAGATATATAATCTCGTCATGTCAAGATAGCTGTTGCAAAAAATGTGATAGCTTATCTTGACTAGACGAAATAAAAGTTGGTGTACCTCGACAAAACTAGCAAGTTATCTTGACGTGATAGTTGACTTGACGCGATATCTTATGTTGACAAAATTTATTTGGATGGCATAAATATGCCACCATAATTTGACATCCCTAATATAATGAAGTCGAAAAAAATCTCAGATTTTCATGCTGACTTACCTGAAATGTAGCTGTTTTAGGATGTCGACTTTGCTAAATGCGCAGTTTATACTTCGATTGTGGGCTCTTGTTTTTATATGCTCTCGAGAGGATATTACGCGTCGTCGGTAACCCACAGGTGATTCACATCGATTCTCTCTATCACTTGAGGAAGCTTGTGGACTCAGAACCGTGGTTTGCGACGATGGATATTACGTAAGGGTTAATGTACGAGTAACGCTCCATTCTTTAAAAGCAATGGAGCCGAAGCCCCGAATGGAGCGCTACGAGTATATTAACCCGCGTAAAATCCAACCTTTTTAAATGCTTTTAATTATTCTTTGTTAATATATAATAAAGAATATTTACAAATTACACTGTAAATATACATTTAACATACTAGTAGTATTTGTTTATACATTAGAGAAAGTAAGGCGAAAAAAGTGTACTGAAGTTATTTAAATCCACTGTCAATCAACAGCTTCAATAGCGTAGTGAGATGCAATGAGTACCTGGCTGCAAAGGCGATGGTACCGGGTTCGATTCTCAACAGTGCCGCATTTATTTTCTTTATGTGAAAATAAACTTGTTAAAATTTTCTAAGTTACAATGTATTTCCTCGGTAGAGGTACGGGAAGGAGAATATGAACATGACGAATTCTGTTTTCAAAGTAATTTGCAACTCTCCATTCCTGAAAAATAATATTGTAATGATTGAAAGGTCGGCCCGATGAGAAGTACAGCAGGCTCTGCTATTCAGAAAAAGAACATTAATATGAAATGTGACTGACCACCATGAAAAAAGGAGATCGGAAATTGAAATTCCGAATGATCTCTCCCCCTTTAACATTCATTTGTAGTTTATACAGAACAGGCAATTGTATTTCATGAATTATCTTGCTTATAGAACACTTGAGATTTAAACATATTTTTCCCCACTTGACAATTGACAAGGGTTGATTTGTTAGTAGATATTCCTAGAAAATAACCACAATTTCAAGAAAATATACTCGTTTTTATTTCATATTCATGACTTTCACACTTTCTTAAGGTCTTAGGAGAGATATATCTTTCCTGCAGTTGGGACTGGCTGAGGAACAGGCATTTTCATCATATATTTCCATGTCAAAATAGAACAGATACACATTGGTTTACCAAATGGATGTTAAAATGTAGAGGTAAATATTTGCAAAGTCCCTATTCTATCAGATGAAATAAAAAAAAGTGAGGGTTAATTGTACAGTGTATTTGGAAATACTTTAACTTTCAAAACAACTGTGTATAACCTCTGCCAAAATAAATAAAGAGAAAATAAACATAATTTGAAGTATCTTTTTATTTATTATTTCCTTTTCACACACACACACACACACACACACACACACACAGAGAGAGAGAGAGAGAGAGAGAGAGAGAGAGAGAGAGAGAGAGAGAGAGAGCAAACCATGAAGTTAAAAGATGGGGTAATATTAAGAACTATAGTTTAATTTTTGCTCTACTTTGAAGCAAAGACGAAAACATTAGTCAGGAGATGCCAAACCTGTATGACATAATGAATAACATAGTTTGTGTGAATTACAACTTTATGCCTTTTTCCAAGACATTGGTTCAATATTTATCGTTAAAATCCATGAAATATCATGCTTATTTATTTAAGCATTTTTTTTTTAATAAAAAAAAAACCTGCCAATTTAATCCATGTTAAGGAATTAAATTTACTGATTATTAATTTTTAATATTCTTGTTGTATTAAATTTTACATCATATTTCTTGAAATTTTTCGAGTAATACACGAGAAAGTGATCGATTCTGTACTGAAGTAATCGTAATTTACTATTTTGTGCTGTTGGTTGTAGGTAGTGAATTGCTTTCTGATGCGCAATCTAATTAAAATTAGATGCTCCGAATTCGCTACCCCTTCTCAACAACATCCCATTCGGGATCACTTCAGAGCGACCTTTCGATTAGCCGCCTCCGAAGTGTTCGCTTATAGTTCGGATGCGTTTCTTTTTTCACTGCAAAACCTAAACGCCTGAGGAGTTTCGTAGTAAACGAAATATGCATGACCAAGGCCGTGCTATGTATGAATGTGACATTCCGGATATTTAAGGTCTCCCGTTTCCAACGATTCTGATGATTAAGATTATTAAGGTCCTTCGTCTTCAGCGGAAGACCTTGTTATTCTTAGGTTTCTTTTTCAATTTTACTAAGGTCTTTTGTCTTCAGCGGAAGACCTTCTTGTTATTACAAATACTATGAAACATTTTATATAGATTGCACATTATCATCACTTGATAATGACAAAACTTTATGGCTTTTTGTGTTTTGTTATTTTAATTTTAAATCTTATCGCAGTCAGAAGTGCAACAAAACTGTTTGATAATTATCAATGAACTTACAAAATAAACTTTATAGTCCAATACGTCTTGGTTAAAAAGCATAAAGTTGTTTAAACCTGACTTTTTAGAACAAAGTATCCCCTATTTATGTCATAAACCTAGCTTAAATATATAAGGAAGATAAAGGTGTATTGTTTCAGTACTAGTAAAGCCATGGTGCAATTATCTGAATTTTTTTTTTACAATTTGTTCAGTGTTGTTTTTAAAATTTTTTAAAAATTAAAAGAAAAGCTAAAAACGCATCTGCACTGATGTAATTGAAAAGAGGGACAGATTTCTATAATTTAAACTGTTATTAAATTAGTACTAAATTATTCAGATAGATGCTTATTAATCAGTAGTATGAATAGGAGTCCCTTCATTATTGAACTTGAATCTTTATGAAATGTGTTGAAATCCTGACTGTGGAAATATTGATCTGAAACACAGACAGATAATGTAATAATGTGATAGATTTATTTGATAAAAACTTTCAATACACTTTATTTTCCAAAAAGGAAAACAAAACATTATATACTGATTAAAGTTTTTCCAAGTTGGAGAGCTAAACCTCAATGTTGCACTTCTAACATAAATTGGTATCCACAGATATTTGACTCTCATTAATGTTGCTTGTGATTCATATAATACTTTAAGCCTTTAAATGGTCAATCGGTTATTGTTATACACTTTCAAAATTCCTTTTTTGACTTAATTATCATACAGATTTTTAAATTCAATATTTTTTGGCATCATTACATTTTATCTGTTGCACTCCTGACATGGTATATTTTTTTTTCAAAATCAGCCCTGACCATAACTTGGTCAAGCAAAAGTTACTTCAGTCTAAATTTCAACAAATAACCAATACATTGAATTTGATCAGGACACTCTTTTATTTCCAATATGAACCATTTTTATTTATGTAACAGATCTTTAGAAAAATATGGAATTTTCAAAATGTCACAAAATATGTTACACTCCTGATATTTAAGCATCATTTTTGGGCACAACCTTTTTTGTCTCTTAAGATATCGATGAGATTTTTGGCAGACATTTAGTCAGTATAAAAGACGCATGGAGATCTATAGAAATGTATTCACTGATAAAACGTCATCGATCGATATATCTAAATGTTAATTAAAAAGCCACAGCAAGATACTTTTTTCATGTAGAAGTTTATGAATAAACTCTGCTTCGTATGATAAAAGTTAGGTCTGCTAATAACGGGGCACAATTAGTACCCGCGGATATTCCAACAGATTGTTGGAAGACTTGATCTCCACAACCACATAGATATAGTCAATTAGAAACTGAAGAAGCATCCTTTTATAGCATTTTCTACATACATATGAACAATTTCTTAAACGAGGCAAACTATTGACAAACAAGTTGATGAAACAAGGATATCAACAGTCTCGTTTGAAGTCATCATTTCGCAATTTTTTAGAACCTATCAATAAGTCAAATGCTGACTGGTGTTTTTCATACTAATTGTAAGGCCATTACTTATACACTGAACTGTCTACCGATTTTTTTCCATTTTTTTTTCAGATCATGGCAAGGAGCACACGGCGGGTGTGACCGGTCGGCAGGGGATGCTCACTCCTTTGCTCTGCTCCAAAATTTGTATCGTTTCTTTGACTTTCGAGATTGAATACTGTTCGTTATCTTCATATTTCCTTTTCAAGTTACATATTGCCTTCAATTTATCATTCTACTGCGCTACAACCTTGGCCTTCAAGGTATCACACCGGTAATTTTTTTCACTATATAATTCTACATAGAATAAAAAATCTTTAAAAATCAGGTATTTGAATTCATGAGAAAAATATCTAGCACGAAATGTTAAACAAAGATACAGACAGCGGGTTCCTGTAAATGTTCTACCAAGCCTCACTCTTTACTCCTCACTAAGTGTGTGGTCTCTTATATTTTCAAATTCCTTTTTCTTTTCATCAATTATTTGTATATTTCTATCATAGTTTTTCCTCCTAATTTTTACTTTCAGAAATTAACCGTTTTTCTTTTTCATTGCTTTTTTTTCTTTAGATAATTAGAAAAAAAATTATTTTGGCTCTAATTTCCATTAAGAATATTTCAAGAAAAAGCTGATCATCAATAGTAAACTGAATTTCTGCATCTGATACATCAATATATGGGAAATGCATAATTTTCTTTTGTTTCCTGAATAGCTTTGTTGATTTTTTTCAATAAATTTAATATCTTGGAGAAGTTCCAATTGTCCTCTCATTTAATTTAATCTTTAGATATATCGGTGAGTTCACAGATATATAACTATTCAAAATTTTACTTTCTTCAACACTATTTAAAAAAGAACTTGATATAAGAAAAAAAATTATCTTGATTGTTTACAGAAGGTTTACGCCAAGTATATCGTATTTCATCAGGATTTTTCTCTTTAAAAATATCACTGAAATTGTAGTCAGGAATGATTTCTATAACTTTACTTCTTGCATTTAGATTGTTAATATGAAGATAGTTATAATATTCTTTTTCTGGGTCCAAAACAAATTTAAAATCCCCTGCCAAAATAACATCTTGATTTGATGAATCTTTTAAAATATCTGATAGTCCTTCAAAAATGAATGTATATCATCATTTGGTCCATTTATTGGTATTAAACTCAGAAGCTTGTTTACGATTGTAAAATCTGTAGCCAAAAGACTCCTTGCATCATCAGATATTTTATTATGATCCTTGTGTTTAAAATTA